TGAACCAGGGGGGGGGTTGTTTTGGGAGGTTGTATGTATGAGGGCAAGGGAGTGTGTGAACCCATTGCGAGGACTCAATAAGGCCTTGTTATGTTTACATGGTGACCCACAGTCTTCCTCCCCTCTACTCTTTAACTGTTGTTTACATCTTCATTGAATGACCCAAAAAAGCATAAATAGGGCAATATTGGACAAATTTTAAATAATTGTTATTTTTCCCTTATCTTTCTACTCCCCCTTGAACTCAAAATTGCTTCATATCTCTTTTATCTATATTTTATATCTTTACTCTCTATTCTCTTCTCTCTTTCTCTCCCTCAACCCATCCCTATCTCCTGTAGTGAACGGTGTGCCGTGGTCCAGTGAAGGTCCCAGGAGGAACAGTCACACGTTTAACTGTCGTATGCTGGTCAACCCTCACGTTGACAACCAGGACGAGACCAGCGACCATGAGGGACAGAAATATGAGACCATGCAGTGTTTCTCCGTCTCCGAACCCAAGAGCATCAAGGAGGAGGCAGAAGGTATGGAGGAAAGGAGGGAGGAGGAGTAGGGAGGAAGGGGGGATGGAGGAGGGGAGGAAGGTAAAGGGGAAACCTAGTGAGTTGTACAACTGAATGCATTCAACTGAAATGTGTCTTCCGCATTTAACCAAACCCCTCTGAATCAGAGAGGTGCGGGGGGGGGCTGCCTTAATTAACATCCACGTCATTGATGCCCGGGGAGCAGTTGTCGTTGGGGGTTAACTGCCTTGCTCAAGGGCAGAACGGCAGATTTTTCCACCTTGCTGGCTCGAAGATTCAAACCAGTTAACCAGGATGGGGGCAGGACGGGGACAGGAAGGGGGCAGGACGGGGACAGGAAGGGGACAGGACGGGGACAGGAAGGGGACAGGATGGGGGCAGGACGGGGACAGGAAGGGGACAGGAAGGGGACAGGATGGGGGCAGGACGGGGACAGGAAGGGGACAGGAAGGGGACAGGGGGAGCATGTAGCTGACTAGTGGTGGCTGTTCAGCAGCCTGACGGTCTGGGAGTATAAGCTCTTGGTCAGTCGTCCAGTTTTTGCCAGAGTCCATGCACCGATACTGCCTGGCGTCTTAGTGATGGAAGCGGGCAGAACGGGCCATGGCTCGGGTGGCTGGGGTCCCTGATTATCTTCTTGGCCTTCCTGCGACACCTGGTGTTGTAGGTGTCCTGGAGGGCTGGCAGTGTGCATCCAATGGTGCGTTCGGCTGAGCGTACCACCCTCTGTAGTGCCTTGCGGTCCTCGGCGGTGGAGTTGCCGTACCAGGCTGTGATGCAGCCCGACAGTATGCTCTCGATGGTGCTCCTGTAGAACAGTTTAAGGGCCCTCTGGGAAAAGGCTGTGGATTCTGTGAGGGCCCTAATGATCCTATTTGGACCAGAATGAGGCTCTCCCACTACCTGTTGTTCCTGCAGTGATGAGTCACCATCTTCATCGAATGTTTTCAGAATTTATCTGCAGATAATCGCAAAAAAAAAAAAACTAGACCTACCAGTAGCCTATGCAAATGAAGGAGCCAATTGAACAGCTCTCTCACCGATGCGATTTGATAGGCTACACTGACTAGACGAGAGTCACTCACTTTGGCGTCGCTGTCTGGCAAGCCCCGACATCTTAGGAAAGGAAACCCAGGAAATCCTTTTTGTTTACTTGTCCCGATGCGATACCATGGACACATAACCACGTTGCGTGAGTTATGAACGGCAAAGTGATATAGCGGATCGACTTTATTTAGTCAGTTAGACCCCTTTTATAAACTAGTCAACACTTGCTGTTCAGTTGTCAATCAACGCACAGTGAATAGCCCACTGTGCGCCGCGACTCCGAGTGGCTGGCTATGTGAAACGCACAAGAAAATAAATGACTGTGTGAGAAAACAAAAATTAGGGCTAAATCGTGGATTTAGACTCGTCGTTACCACTTACATTACATGGGACGTGGAAATTCACACGCATCATGATCCCTCCCTCCTCCGTGTAAAGAATCTGTATATAATGAAGAGATGCTCATGTCTCCGCCCTAACAATGGGAGTCGTTGTCCCAAAGGTGGGAAGGCGGGCGACAAGCTTAGGTGCAAAAAAAAAAAGGACCATGGAAACGCATTGGGCTTATTTTGGACAGATTTGGACGAGAGTGAAAGCTCTCGCTTCGCCTCTTCCTCTCTGCTGCGTTTCCTTGTCATCGCTCGTTTTGTGACTGACAGGCACCTGTCCTATCAATAGATCGCTGTAAGATACATATTGTTTATTCTCCACCCACTAGCGAATTGAAACTTTTAAATGAGCAGTAGCTTAGTTAATATGACGGAAAATGTAGCCGGCTGAGAATGAGCTGATTAGCAGACAGCCGGCACTAATGGAAAACACTGTTTTACACCCCAGCCGCGAGAAATGATTGTTGTTGAAACGCTTGTTGGCTCGCAACATCTGTGGAGAATGCAGGAGGTTTCAAACACAGAGGGAGAGAGAAAGCAGGAGGTTTCAAACACAGAGGGAGAGAGAAAGCAGGAGGTTTCAAACACAGAGGGAGAGAGAAAGGAGGGATGAAAAGGAAGATGGATTGAAGCTTTCTCTCTCCCTCGTTCAGGGTCACTGAGAGTTCACCAGGCTGTGTGTTCTTAGCCCTGACTACTGAGAGTCACAGGCGGTGTTTTAGCCCTGACTACTGAGAGTTCAACAGGCTGTGTGTTCTTAGCCCCGACTACTGAGAGTTCAAAAGGCTGGTGTTCTTAGCCCTGATACTGAGAGTTTAACGGCTGTGTGTTCTTAGCCCTGACTACTGAGAGTTCAACAGGCTGTGTGTTCTTAGCCCTGACTACTGAGAGTTAACAGGCTGGTGTTCTTTGCCCTGAATACTGAGAGTTCAACAGGCTGGTGTGTTCTTAGCCCCCGGGCTACTGAGAGTCAACAGGCTGTGTGTTCTTAGCCTGAAATACTGAGAGTTCAACAGGAGGGTGTCGTTAGGGCCCGATACTGAGAGTTCAACAGGCGTGTATTCTTAGCCCTGACTAATGAGAGTTCAAACAGGCGGTGTTCTTAGCCCTGACTACTGAGAGTCAACAGGCTGGTGTCGTTTGCCCTGACTATGAGAGTTCAACAGGCTGTGTGTTTTTTAGCCCTGACGACTGAGAGTTCAACAGGCTGTGTGTTCTTAGCCCTGACTACTGAGAGTTCAACAGGCGGTTTTGTTCTTAGCCCTGACTACTGAGAGTTCAATAGGCTGTGTGTTCTTTGCCCGACTACTGAGAGTTTAACAGGCTGTGTGTTCTTAGCCCTGACTACTGATAGGTCAACAGGCTGTGTGTTCTTACCCTGATACTAGAGTTCAAAAGGCTGTGTGCGTTTGCCCTGACTATGAGAGTTCAAAAGGCTGGTGTTCTTGCCCTGACTACTGAGAGTTCAAAAGGCTGTGTGTCGTTAGCCCTGATACGAGAGTTCAAAAGGCGTGTGTCGTTAGCCCTGACTACTGAGGTTCAAAAGGCTGGTGTTCTTAGCCCGACTACTGAGAGTTCAACAGGCTGTTTTGTTCTTAGCCCCGACTACTGAGAGTTCAACAGGCTGTGTGTTCTTAGCCCTGACTACGAGAGTTCAACAGGTGTGTGTTCTTAGCTGACTATGAGGAGTTCAAACAGGGCTGTGTGTTCTTAGCCCTGACTACTGAGAGTTCAACAGGCTGTGTGTTCTTAGCCCTGACTACTGAGAGTTCAACAGGCTGTGTGTCGTTAGCCCTGACTACTGAGAGTTCAACAGGCTGTGTGTTCTTAGCCCTGACTACTGAGAGTTCAACAGGCTGTGTGTCGTTAGCCCTGACTACTGAGAGTTCAAAAGGCTGTGTGTTCTTAGCCCTGACTACTGATAGTTCAACAGGCTGTGTGTTCTTAGCCCTGACTACTGAGAGTTCAAAAGGCTGTGTGTCGTTAGCCCTGACTACTGAGAGTTCAAAAAGGCGGGTGTGTATTAGCCCTGACTACTGAGAGTTCAACAGGATGTTCAACACGTGTGTCTTAGCCTGACTACTGAGAGTTAAACAGGCTGTGTGTTCTAGCCCTGACTACTGAAGTTCAACAGGCTGTGTGTTCTTAGCCATGAGATACTGACTGAGAGTTCACAGGCTGTGTGTTAGCCCTACTATGAAGTTCAACAGGCTGTGTTCTTAGCACTACTGAAGTTCAACAGGCGTGTGTGTTCTTAGCCATGACTACTGAGAGTTCAACAGGCTGTGTGTTCTTAGCCCTTGGACTACTGAGAGTTCAAAAGGCTGTGGTGTCTTAGCCCTGACTCAACTGAGGAGTCAAAAGGCGTGTGTCTTAGCCTGACTACTGAGAGTTCAACAGGCTGTGTGTTCTTAGCCCTGACTATGAGAGTTCAACAGGCTGTGTGTTTCTTAGCCTGACTACTGAGAGTTCAACAGGATGTGTGTTCTTAGCCCTGACTCTGAAGAGTTCAACAGGCGGTGTGTTTCTTTAGCCCTCTGACTACTGAGAGTTCAACAGGGCGGTGTTGTTCTTAGCACCTGACTACTGAGAGTTCAACAGGCTGTGTTGTTCTTAGCCCTGACTACTGATAGTTCAACAGGCTGTGTGTTCTTACCCCGGATACTGAGAGTTCAAAAGGCTGTGTGTCGTTAGCCCTGACTACTGAGAGTTCAAAAGGCTGTGTGTTCTTAGCCCTGACTACTGAGAGTTCAAAAGGCTGTGTGTCGTTAGCCCTGACTACTGAGAGTTCAACAGGCTGTGTGTTCTTAGCCCTGACTACTGAGAGTCCCATAGACACACACACCCCTCAAAGGTCCATCATGTCCCCTGCTACATCCTGTTATACTGTCATCATGTCCCCTGCTCCTCTGTTATACTGTCATCATGTCCCCTGCTACATCTTTTATACTGTCATCATGTCCCCTGCTCCCCCTGTTGTACTGTCATCATGTCCCTGCTACCTCCTGTTATACTGTCATCATGTCCCCTGCTTCCTCCTGTTGTACTGTCATCATGTCCCCTGCTACATCCTGTTGTACTGTCATCATGTCCCCTGCTACCTCCTGGTATACTGTCATCATGTCCCCTGCTACCTCCTGGTATACTGTCATCATGTCCCCTGTTACATCCTGTTATACTGTCATCATGTCCCCTGCTTCCTCCTGTTGTTCTGTCATCATGTCCCCTGCTACATCCTGTTATACTGTCATCATGTCCCCTGCTACATCCTGTTATACTGTCATCATGTCCCCTGCTACCTCCTGTTATACTGTCATCATGTCCCCTGCTACATCCTGTTGTACTGTCATCATGTCCCCTGCTACATCCTGTTATACTGTCCTCATGTCCCTGCTACTCCTGTTATACTGTCATCATGTCCCCTGCAACCTCCTGTTATACTGTCATCATGTCCCCTGCAACCTCCTGTTATACTGTCATCATGTCCCCTGCTACCTCCTGTTATCCTGTCATCATGTCCCCTGCTACATCCTGTTGTACTGTCATCATGTCCCCTGCTACCTCCTGTTATTCTGTCATCATGTCCCCTGCTACATCCTGTTGTACTGTCATCATGTCCCCTGCTACATCCTGTTGTACTGTCATCATGTCCCCTGCTCCTCCTGTTATACTGTCATCATGTCCCCTGCTACATCTGTTATACTGTCATCATGTCCCCTGCAACCTCTGTTATACTGTCATCATGTCCCCTGCTACCTCCTGTTATACTGTCATCATGTCCCCTGCTACATCCTGTTGTACTGTCATCATGTCCCCTGCTACATCCTGTTGTACTGTCATCATGTCCCCTGCTTCCTCCTGTTATACTGTCATCATGTCCCCTGTTACATCCTGTTGTACTGTCATCATGTCCCCTGTTACATCCTGTTGTACTGTCATCATGTCCCCTGCTACATCCTGTTATACTGTCATCATGTCCCCTGCTACATCCTGTTGTACTGTCATCATGTCCCCTGCTTCCTCCTGTTATACTGTCATCATGTCCCCTGCTACATCCTGTTATACTGTCATCATGTCCCCTGCTACATCCTGTTGTACTGTCATCATGTCCCCTGTTACATCCTGTTATACCAAGGCTGTGTCCCAAATGGCACCCTGTTCCCTATGTAGTGAAGGAGCTCAGCCCTACGCCCCACCCTGTTCCCTATGTAGTGAAGGAGCTCAGCCCTACGCCCCACCCTGTTCCCTATGTAGTGAAGGAGCTCAGCCCTACGCCCCACACCTGTTCCCTATGTAGTGAAGGAGCTCAGCCCTACGCCCCACCCTGTTCCCTATGTAGTGAAGGAGCTCAGCCCTACGCCCCACCCTGTTCCCTATGTAGTGAAGGAGCTCAGCCCTACGCCCCACCCTGTTCCCTATGTAGTGAAGGAGTTCAGCCCTACGCCCACCCTGTTCCCTATGTAGTGAAGGAGCTCAGCCCTACGCCCCACCCTGTTCCCTATGTAGTGAAGGAGCTCAGCCCTACGCCCCACCCTGTTCCCTATGTAGTGAAGGAGCTCAGCCCTACGCCCCACCCTGTTCCCTATGTAGTGAAGGAGCTCAGCCCTACGCCCCACCCTGTTCCCTATGTAGTGAAGGAGCTCAGCCCTACGCCCCACCCTGTTCCCTATGTAGTGAAGGAGCTCAGCCCTACGCCCCACCCTGTTCCTATGTAGTGAAGGAGCTCAGCCCTACGCCCCACCTGTTCCCTATGTAGTGAAGGAGCTCAGCCCTACGCCCCACCCTGTTCCCTATGTAGTGAAGGAGCTCAGCCCTACGCCCCACCCTGTTCCCTATGTAGTGAAGGAGCTCAGCCCTACGCCCCACCCTGTTCCCTATGTAGTGAAGGAGCTCAGCCCTACGCCCCACCCTGATCCCTATGTAGTGAAGGAGCTCAGCCCTACGCCCCATCCTGTTCCCTATGTAGTGAAGGAGCTCAGCCCTACGCCCCACCCTGTTCCCTATGTAGTGAAGGAGCTCAGCCCTACGCCCCACCCGTTCCCTATGTAGTGAAGGAGCTCAGCCCTACGCCCCACCCTTTCCTAGAGTAAAAGGAAACCCTACGACCCACACTCATTTACTACTAGATGAATAAGAACACGTACTGGAAATAAATCATGTTCAATTAATATCTGCGAGTCCCTAACCCGATATAGATATCAGACTCTGTTCTCTCTACAAATGCTCTCACGCTCTATATCTCTCCTCTCTCTCTCTCTCTCTCTCTCTCTCCCCTCTCTCTCTCTTCCCCTCCCTCTCCTTCTAGACTTCCAGTCATGTCTGATCTGTGTGGCACGCAGGATGCCTGTGAAGGAGCGGCCAATTCTGCCCACGCACGAGAGCTTCACCACCCGCCAGGACCTGCAAGGTAACCAATCACAGCACTAAAATCATACCACCAGACCAGACATTAACCAATCACATCCACTGAATCATACCACCAGGCTGCCATTAACACAGCTAGAATAATGACCAATGCTGTCCACCAGACGGATCTTAACCAATCGGAAAACAATCTATAAATGACCAGACATACCCTAACCAATCACACAGCCAGACTGGAATGACCAGACAGATTGTAACCAATCACATTAGTCTTTAAATGAGGTTGCCAGTGACAAACGAACTTTTCTCAGGTTGTCACTGTCAAGAGAGAACCATGTTAGAGAGCTGTCTGTATGGCACCCCAAAAAACCCTTGTAAATACCCAACCAGTGTCCCAGGTGTAGTGCTGTCCTGGTACCAGTGCCTGCGTGTTGAGGTGATGCCTCTTTAGTCTGAGCTGTCACTCACCCTGCAGTCTCCCTGACAGCTCTTTAAACACACCACTGCTTCCGCCTGGATCCATTTATACTGCACACACTGACAGGGAGTATGACCGCGCAGCGTGTGTGAACGACAGAGAGGAGGTCTATGAGTGCGTGAAAAGAGATGGACAGTGGGGTGTGTGTGTGTGTGAGAATGTGTGCGCTTGGGTGCCATGTAAGCTCAATAACCGCACCTCATGCTTGTGAGCGTTTGTGATCAGCAGCCTGGCTCTCTGAATCCGCTGTGTTTTCCGTAGGGAAGATCACGTCGTTAGACACCAGTCTTCTGAGAGCCTCTATGAAGCCTGGCTGGGAGGACCTGGTGAGGACAAGCATCCAAAGGTTTCACCTACAGAACGACGGAGAGATGTCCTTCGCCAAGAGACACCAGCAAGAGGGTGAGACTACCTGTTGATCTCATGGATGGTCAGCCCTTGCATCCAAAGCTCCGTCCATGAATTTGAGTGGTTACACTTCTCATCCCCGTCCCTCAGCTGTTTACCAAAAAAATGTGACTGGGTGACCGCTTTGTTGTTGTTTTGAATCCCAGATTGCCTCTTTAACTCTCCCTCCCCCTGTGCGTCTCCCTCCAGTGTTGTATCACGGCCAGGCATTCAGCCCCATCTACAGGTTCACTCTGTCAGACGGGACCATCGTGTCGGCTCACACCAAGAGCAAGCTGGTCCGCTCCCCTGCCACCAACGAACCCCAGCTCTACATGTCGCTACACTTACTACAGAGGTACGTACTCTAAACCTAACCCTAACCCCTTAACCTAACCCTAACCATGAACTAACCCCTAACTAGTCTAAACCCTGAACCTAACCCCTACCTAACCCTGAACCTGAACCATCCCTGAACCTAACCCCTAACCCCTTAACCTAACCCCTAACCCCTGAACTAACCCCTAACTCTAGTCCTAAACCCCTGAACCTAACCCCTAACTCTAGTCCTAAACCCCTGAACCTAACCCTAACCCTTAACTACCCTAACCCCTAAACCTAACCCCAACTCTAGTCTAAACCCTGAACCTAACCCCTAACCCCTTAACCTAACCCCTAACCCCTGAACTAACCCCTAACTCTAGTCCTAAACCCCTAAACCTAACCCGTAACCCAGAGAGTGGTTTACATTAGGGTTTGAGGGGATTTTTTTGTGACTGTCCCCCGCCTTGACGGCAAAGAGAGAACACGTTTTCAAGTAAATTCTGCTAATTGTGCCATGGGGGGGGGGGGGGGGGGGTAGAGAACATGTATGCAGTTTTAAAGATAATTTCCTGCAATTCTACACATGATTAATGCAATGTTCATATGATATCTGAGTGAGAGTGACTAACAAAATCAATGGGGGCCCCTGGAGGTCAGGGCCCCTTGGCACATCCCCTGTGTGCCCATGCCCTGTGTGCCCGGTCAGTATTCAGCCATGATTACTACAAGTTTAGATAGCTGGCTAGACTAACCCACCAATATAAAAACTGTTAGCTGACAAAAGCTAATTGAGTGACTGTCACTGACTGACATAACATGAGAAAAACCGCTGATGTAGTTTATTCTACTATTCTAACTCAACAGTAAGTTGAGACCCCGACTGGGGGTTGTTTGGGTCGGGGGCCACGTTTTTTTGGAAATGGATCTGCGGGCCTACAAAAGGCGGAGCAAGTTGCCCATCCCTGCCCTATATAGTGCACTACTTTTGACCCAAAGCCCAATATGGTGCCGTTTGGGACACGGCCTGTGTGTGTGGGAGGAGGATAAACGTTGTTGGCAGAAGAATTACAGTTTTGTGTAGTAGTTGTACTGTTCTACTGTTCTAACTGTGGCTATATCCTCTGTGTTATTCCCAGGGAGCAGTCAGTGTATGGTCTGGGACCGGGTCAGGACACGGGGCCCGGTGGACAGCAGCAGGAGACAGGGATCAGCCCCAACCCCTCCATAACCCCTCCAACCCAGGGGACCCTCTCTGGTCTGGGCCCCCAGGGACAGGACACCACGATCACCTCTAACAGCACGCTCTTTTCCCCTGCTCATGGAAGTCCAGGGTCCAGAGAACCAGGGCCGGGACACATGCAGGAATACCGCTACGGCTGCCCTCCCCCTGGAGGGTTACAGTGCAGCATGGGTATGAACCTCCCCATCCATCCTAACCAGCAAGGGGCCAATTGGAGGATGAGCAGCCCGTCTCGAAGCAGCCCTAGCCCAGCCGGAGGGCCCCATCCGGGGCAACAGATTTCTATGTTGTCCCCTAGTCACCGGGCAAGTCCAGGCATGGCAGGAAGCCCTCGCGTGGCCCCAAGCCTGCACTCACCCTCCCCTGTGGGGATGTGTGGGTCTGGAACAGGGGTTGGGGGTGGAGGTAGCGGTCCTGCGGCTAACAGTCATGCTAACAGCTACAGCAGTAGTTCTCTGTCGGCCCTGCAGGCTCTGAGTGAGTGTCACGGGGTCAGACACGGCGGGGACGGGCAAACACACCCTCACGGCGCCGGGGGAAAGCATCCGCACACACACACCCTGGGATCACCGGACAGGAAGATGATGGGATTACCCGCTGGGGGTCGCGGTGGGATCAGGGGTCAACCCTCACATGATGTCGAAGCTTGGCGGCGGTAATGGCGTTAGAGTGGAGGCTCACGGAGAGCAGGAATATGGTCAGGGTGGACAGTATGACCAGAGACAGATGGACAGACATACGGACGGGAACGGTAGCAGCGGTAACCACGCTGACATCAAGGAGGAGAGGGGCGGCCTCGACGACGGCCCCGACGCACAGAGCCGTGGTCTACACTGTGACAACAAGGGCCACACCAAACTTCTCCAGCTCCTCACCACCAAGTCCCAACCCGTCGACACCCCCTTGTCCCCCAACGGAGGAGGGGACCCCAGGGACCCCTCGTCAGGGCTGGGGGGCCCTCACGGTCCAGGAGTCCCAGGGGGCCACGCCACCTCCCTAAAGGATAAACACAAGATACTCCACAGGCTGCTCCAGAACAGCACCTCTCCTGTCGACCTGGCCAAGCTCACCGCTGAGGCCACGGGCAAGGAGCTGGGGGAGCACCCTGGGGGCGGTAACGGACAGACAGGAGGGGGTACGGACGGGAACCTCACCCCCAAACAGGAGCCCCTGAGCCCCAAGAAGAAGGACAACGCCCTGCTGAGGTATCTTCTGGATAAAGAGGAAAGGCAGGCGAAGATGGAGGGAGTAGGAGGGGAGGTGAAGACTGAGGGGGGGGTGAAACACACCCTTCATGTGAAGACGGACAAACAGGATGCAGGATACGACCGCGCTGAACAGGTGGGTGGCTGGAGATTTCTTACAGCTTTTGATGACATCATGTGACGCTTTTATATTAAGACCTTTTCTTAACTTATCTTATGTTAACTTATCTTTTTAACTACAGAACGTAGAAACATATGTAGACTCTGGTATGGTGCTGGAGATGATGAATATGAGGTTCATTGATGGTTGACGGTGATTGGAAATGCCTGAGTGGTGGTTAAATAAATAGATTGAGATCTATGGAGGTGCTTAACAGGTGTGTACTGACCCGCAAGTCACCAGGCCACCCCTCTCCTCCTAAAACAGGTAGGGACTACCTGTCCTGAACCTGTCCAATCAGAAACGCTCGTTTTTGTTTTCTGTTTCAAAACATTTTGCTACAGTGCGCTCTAATGAATACGCCCCCACTTCTCGCTGAACACGGCTCTATGTTTATAGTAACCTGCTTTCCTATTGGTCAGCACAGCTTCCTGCCATGTGCTCCTGTTGCTCTTGTTCTGGGTTCCTCCCTACATCGCCACATCCAGGGAGGGTAGTACAACAGAGAAAGTGAACAGTCCTGCTGTCCATAGATTTTGGGTGGTACCTAGTATGGAGAGAGGGAGAGAGGGTTGGTGAGAGAGATGGAGACAGACAGACAGAATAGATTGAGAAAGAAGCAGAGGGGGAAGAGAGAAGGAGTTTGAGTGAGCTCTGGTGAAACCGCAAATATTACCAGCTGGTAGAGGAAGCGGATGGATCAGGTCTGTAGTTTTATAAAGGTGGGGCTTCTGTAGCCTGCCTGCCCTCTTCGGTTGCGTCTCAAATAGCACCCTATTCCCTATATTTTGCACTACTTTTGATCAGAGCAGTCAGAGCAGGAGACAAGCTTGTATACTGCAGCAAGTACTGGGAACAGCAGGAGACAAGCCTGTATACTGCAGCAAGTACTGGGAACAGCAGGAGACAAGCCTGTATACTGCAGCAAGAGCTGGGAACATCAGGATACAAGCCTGTATAATGCAGCAAGAGCTGGGAACATCAGGATACAAGCCTGTATAATGCAGCAAGAAATGGGAACAACAGGAGACAAGCCTGTATAATGTGGCAAGTACTGGGAACAGCAGGAGACAAGCCTGTATACTGCAGCAAGAGCTGGGAACATCAGGATACAAGCCTGTATAATGCAGCAAGAGCTGGGAACATCAGGATACAAGCCTGTATAATGCAGCAAGAAATGGGAACAACAGGAGACAAGCCTGTATAATGTGGCAAGTACTGGGAACAACAGGAGACAAGCCTGTATACTGCAGCAAGAACTGGGAACAACTCACTTGCTCTCTTTTTCATCTGCTTTCTTTCTCTCGCTGTGCTCTCGGCCTCTTTTATTCTCTTGTTCTCTTTACTATCTTTATTTCTCTCGCTGTGCTCTCGGCCTCTTTTATTCTCTTGTTCTCTCTCTCTGTCTATGGCGTAGTTCCCTGGAAACGGCCCTTCGTTCCCGTGCAGACGGTGGGGGGTGGTATCGAATGTGAGAGGCGGAGGTGGAAGAAGAGCTGTGTGTGTGTGTGTGTGTGTGTGTGTGGTGTGTGTGTGTGTGTGTGTGTGTGTGTGTGTGTGTGTGTGTGTGTGTCCATGTAGGAGTGCCTGCTTGCAGAGGGGAATGAGAAGGAAGGTGAAGGAGGCAGGTGATTAGACAGATTGTGTCCAGTCTCAGCAGGCAGAGGAAAAATGATGAGCCATATGCTGCCTACTGCATGTCCCCCTGCTACCATGGAGGGGAGGGGAGGGAGGGAGGAGGGATGGGAGGGAGGAATGGGAGGAGAGGGAGGGATGAGGAGGTGAGAGGAGGAGGAGGGGGAAGAGAGGAGGGTGTGGGAGAAGGCAAGGGAAGAGAGAGTGAAAGAGAGTCCACAGCAAAGATGTTTTAGAATCAAGATGACCCACTTTCACCAGGCAGGCAGGGACTTGTTTTGGTCCAGAATGAGGATAAACACAGGAAGTAGAATGCGCTCAAAATGAGGATTCCGCAGAGTGGAGTAGTAGTAGAGGATCTTCTTCTTCCTCCAACATCTTTGTCCGGTCCATGTAGAATGCAAGTGGTGCATCTTCCCTGCTGTAGTCTCTTTGTGAAATTGGAGAAGGCTAGTGCAGCTCACAACATGAAGGTTGAACACCACTATTGTCCTCTGGGCTGTGAAGACACACCAGTCAAAGGGACTGAACAGTCACATGGTCATTTCCTTTAGATGTCCAGTCCTGGTCAAACGTTTTGAGAATGACACAAATACTAATTTTCACAAAGTCTGCTGCCTCAGTTTTGATGATGGCAATTTGCATATACTCCAGAATGTCATGAAGAGTGATCAGATGAATTGCAATTAATTGCAAAGTCCCTCTTTGCCATGAAAATGAACTTAATTTAAA